AGATAAACAAGTTGACTATATCAGTACGCGTTACAGGATCCATAGACGGGAATTCTATGCCTACAAAGGGAAAGTATAGTATTAGCATTAAATTACAAACCACCTCAGATCACCAGGATGGTGTTAGTAAATGTGGCATGCTAAGGAAACTGGAGAGGTTGCAGTGGCAATAAGCACAATTATAAAAGCAGACTTAAATTGCTGTTAAGTGTTGTCATTGGGCAAAATGCTGCGTTTCTAGGTACCATAAAAGACAACTTCTTGATGCAGCTAGTCAAGAAACCTACAAGAAGAGAAGTGATTCTTGGCTTTTTCAAACTGTGTAGGATCACACACTCAAGAGCTACTCCATAAGGGTAGAAGAGGTCTCATCAAACTGTAGATGTCTACAGCTGAGCTAGTCGATTGCTTCCATAGTTTTGGGAATAAATGGATACTTTACAGTGCAGTTTATTGGCTACATATAGACAGATAACGAATCTCACCCTCTGTGTCCCTAATGCACTCAGAGCCACAGCCTTGCAGGAGTGAGGAGAATCAAAATATCCAATACAGTAGATACTAATTTAAAAGATGGAAAGTAAATAAAAATGAGAAAGCTTGTTGCAAGGAAATTTAAAAGAGTAGTCAAAGATGCTGTATTCTTGCAGGCAGAATGGAGAATGTTCAGGAATAGCGTATTAGACACTTAGAGCAAATCTATATGATCTATCAAGAAAAGACTTTGGAAACACCAAAAAGGGTTCTATCATTAAACAGCAGGGGAGGAAGCTTTTAGAAGGAAAAAAAAGGCATCCCTCAGATTTTAGATTGTATCCAAATAGAAAAAATCATAAACCCTAGCAATTTTGTTATAAAATTACAAGAATGTAGAAAGAATTTGCTAAAGGTATGAAAACTAAGTCCTTTTTCAGAAACGTTAGAAGTAGGTAGTCTGCCAGACAGTTTGTAGGTCTAGTAAGTGACTGAAAAATGAAAGTATAGTCAAGTTAAATAAACGTTACAGGTATGTCTCAAAATGAAGTATCAGTTGAGGTTTCAGAGTAACTGAACAAATAGTAATGAGTAGCCAGAACCGAGACTTCTAAAGGGATTTAAGAATGAAATTGCTAGCTACTGTCTCCAGCGTGGGCTTTATTGTTTACAATTGCATCAGTACAAGGAAACAGGAAGGCAGCAATGTGATGACCATTTTTAAAGCGGTATCAGGAGGGATCCAGTGAGCAGTTGACCGTAATAGTACGTAGAATATATAAAGAATATATATAGGACTTATAAACTGCAATGGAGAATAACATCAACAAGACTGATGGATCCTTATGATAAAGAGGAGTTAATGTGCCCTTTGTAGAGAAAAGTTGTGCCCCAAAAATCTATTAGGTTTTCTGAAAAAGTCACTGAGGATGTGAACAGGGTGATTCAGTAGGTATCGTATACTTGGATCTTCAAAAGGCCCTTGACAAGATCTCTTACAAATGTCTTTTGACAGGGGCTTGTGATAAGAGGGAACATCTCATGCACTAACAAATGGTTAAGCACTAAGGAACAAAAAGGAGGAAAGCGGTCAGTTTTCTGAAGGGGAGCGGTCACAAGTAGAAGCTCAGAGTCACAGAAGGATTTCGCAGTACTGAGACACAGTGCAGTATGATGGTGGGTGAAATTCTGTGTTGATAAATGCAAGGTAGAGCACATGGAAGAAAATGTGGCTCGTATGCTTACAGAGGAATGGACTTTGAACTAGATATAGCCACACAGGAAAAAGATCTTGCAATTGTACTAAATAATTAAAATGTTAGTTTAGTGCTTAGTAAATAGAGTGGCAGGAATTTCTAGGAAGGGAACAAAACAGCCCGATTGTGCCACCGTAGTTCCACGGTATGATGGGGGGGCATCTCCCCAGTCTGCCCACCTCAAAAGGCTTTAGCAGCACAAGAGAAGATACAGAGAAAGGCAAAAAGCATGAGGAAAACTACGCAATGCCTCTGCGTGAGAAATGACTAACTAGGCTGCAGCTCTTCATCTTAGAAAAAAGGGCAGTGAGGGAGGCATGCCTATAAGCTCATGGCACAGGAAAAAAGGAACAGGTAATAGTTATTCATTGTTTCCGATAATATAAGAAGTAAAGAGCACCAACTGAAATGGTCAGACAGCAGGTTCAAAACGGAAGATAGTTTTCTTATGCTGTAAGACTGAATTATGAAACTAATTGCTACACAAGATATTTCAGATGCCAAAATTTTACAGAAATTCAGAACGTGGTTTGAAAAATTCAGTTCATTAAACATAAAGATATCACCTTTTCCCCAGGAAGAACCTGAACTGGATCTGTGGGTAGCTGGAATTTAAGAAAGTATATCGGGAAAATACCATTACATGCCTCACCTATTTTTATGTTCTTCCCTAGGCATCTGCTACCTGTCGCTGTCAGAGAGTACTGGGTTGGAGGGACTTGCTCTGCCCGAGGGTGGAGGGTCCTATGTTTCTTTTTCTGCAAAGTCCCGTTAGAATATTGAGGAAAGGGATAAAATAGGACTTATTGCATATTCTGAATGATGGCAGGCTATACTTATTACAGTCTAAGTCGTTTAAAGCAAAAAAAAAAAGTAATATTCAAACTTGCCCACGGTTGTTGTCACAGCACTGAGCAGGGGGCAGGCACTAGAGGGGTATCTAGAACCGGATTTTGTTGAGCTGATAAACTAGCTTTTAGCATTACTATTTTAGTATCTGCAGCCGTTTCAGAGTGCCCTACATGTTGGATAAGCCAGCTCAGCACACATTTGGCCGCTATAACTGCGGACTGCCACTACAAAGGACAGTCTGCTCTTCCTCCTGTCCCTGACTGATCCAGCAAGGAAACAAATTTACCACCAACTCGCCCAAAATAAGCACTTTTGCGATGCCTCAGCTTATGGCTGCACAATTGCTAGATGTGGCTGTGCAGAGGAGGGAGCAGAGCTCTCCCCTTCTGGCGGCAGCCCACAGTTATACTGCTTTAGTCACCGTGCGAAAGCACGCGTCCCCTTCCATTCTGCAAAAATCACACGAAATAACGGTTTTTCAGAAATAATCTTTTAATGTCCCTTCTATAAGAATGGTGTGGGTTTTGATGCAACTTTCCTTTCGCATTTCAGCTGTTTTTCCCCTACGAGCGGGAATTTGCCGTGGCAGAGAGCTTTTGCCCAGGCTGACTGAAGGGGTGAGCCGTGCCCTTGCAGCTCCCAGCATCAGCAGCGCTTTCGTCCCCTGCTGAGGAATTCTTTCCTTAGCTGGTTTCTCTCAGTCGGGGTTGTTTTTATTGGTTTGTGCTGTGAAGAATATGTGGGTATCTGTACATAAACTTCTCATAATATGCAGTAGCATATTTTTACCATGCGGTCCACCAAGTCTCTTCGCAGCAAGAAATACTAGGGAAGTTTGGGGATTCAGGAAAGAGCTCCCGTCGGTCTCCTATCAAGTGCAGCAGAGACTGGATCTTAGCAGGAAGATGGCATTAATATTGCAGAGTAATGTCTGGCATTTAATTCGCCTTCTGAGGCAGCGCTCCGGGAAACCATGTGATGTCAGTGGGTGTTGAGAGATTGCTGCGTGCAAAATGCTTCGGGGGTTTTGTGAACACGTCGCTGGAGGAGGCAGTCCCCAGTTAAAGGGCAGGCTCAGCTGAGCAACGCAGTTTGCAGGTAAAGGATGATTCCGGATCGTAAGCGTAGCGCTGTGCTTGGAAGCAGTGCAAACACAGGTTGCAGCAGGCTTCGTACTCTGCCTCGAGGAGCAGCTCCTGCATTTGCTTCCAGTACGTGAACTGATGCAGTTTCCCTGCAAAACTGTGCAGGATGCAAGGGTGGTGAATGCTGAACTCAGGTAACCGAACGACCCAGTGTTCTGACTGGCTTATTTGTGGTGTGTGAGTGAAAGCTGAACTATTTGGATGCCTCCCTACTTCATTCCCTGTTTTCTGGAGCAGCTGGAATAAGTTTGTAGCTTGAGTGAGAAATTGTCTCCATCCTCCCTTTTCCCCCTCAGAGCAGTCTGCTGCAACCTTCACATTTAGGCTGCCTATGCCCTTAATAAAGATATGCCATTTACCTGTGAAGCAAGAGAAGTTTTATTAGCTATGCAAAAAATAGCTTCATCTTTTATTTCGCCTGGCATTTTTACTATTATAGTATAACAAGAATAGGCTGCTATTCAGAATGGTGTTGCAATAAAAGGAACTCTTGGTTCCTTCCCTGCGAATTGCAGTGATTTGAATATAGATCGAAATCACATCAAGCTGCTTTAATGAAAAACAAATGCACTCCTTGGCATTCTGCATTAGTGACGTTTAGGTGCTCTCGGCGCATTCTTCTCCGCAGTCTCAGCAGCGGCTGTGCGCGAGGCTGCAAGCCCAGCCTGGCCGAGGCTGTGCACGCAGGTTTTGTTTCTTTTCTGCAACTTCCTCCCTAAGGGCACCCCATGATGTCAGCGAGCCGCCGCGCGGCCGGCCAGCCGGAGCGCGCTCGCCTGTCACTTCCCGAGCAGGCTCGGCTGCAAGTGCGCAGGCAGGAGCTCCAAGAAATGAATAAGCTGTTTCTGCCTTTTTGGTAGCTCAGAGCCTTTGTGATTCTCCGTGAACCCTTTAGGACTAAGCTATTGAAGGTGAAACCTTTGCCCTGTCTGTGGAGTCTGACAGCAGCATGGTAGCCAGGGGGGGAATGGCACGATTTTGGAGCCTGGAGAGCCTTCAGATGGGTACGTGTGAGTAGAACATACTCTCTCTCTATTTTTTGCAGCATTTCTAGATTGAAATGATAAACTGTGACAGTCAGGGAGCTTGACTGCGATCGCATTTATATTCTGTAACCCGCTGGAGTCAGTAGAGTTACACCGGTGACAAAACTGTTCGGAGATCAGAATGGGTCCCACATTGTCTTAAGTTTTTGCATTCCGTTAGAGCAGTGAGGAAAGCCCATCCCCACCTCTAATAGGCTTATTTCTGTCTGTAAACAATAGAGGAATGGATGCAGAATGCAAGGCACACATTTTTGCTCGAGTCTAATTGCCAAGACAATGTAAGCTTGTTGATTTAGGAAAGAACAGGGAACAGTTATCAGTCCCGAAATGACAGTCATCTTTCATCTGTAGCTAAGTGAATTAGGAAATTTTCATGTGCCTTCATTACTGCAACAAACCCACAGGCAGTACTGAGATTACAGTGGGGCTGTAAAAAGGATCACCAAGATGATTTTTTTTTTGATTAGTAAGCTAAAAATTGATATCATGAATTGTTTCTTTGCAGGTTTTAGATAAAGGTTTTCAGTACATTTTACAGGAGTATTTTAAAAGCGTATCAGTGTTCAGATTTGGGAGTCTTATGGGGAAAAACTCTTTTTTTAACAGGAATTCAGCATCCTCCCTCGTTGGATAGATTATGCCATTAAAATGAGTGTATATTTGAAATGCTGAGGAACAGAATAGAGTTGTGTAATAATCATGTTCTTTTATGTCAAGACTAAGGCACGTCTTTCCACTTCCAAAGAACACAAAATTATTTCAGTGTTTTAGTTAATCTGTGCTGCAAACAGCTTTGATTTCTCTTAAAAATTAATACCTAAATTACCAAAGAAGTTAGCTGTGCTATGAGCACCCATAGGGAGAGGGTTGAAGTGTTTCTCCCTATGCAGTAAATAGCTGGTAGGCTACAGTGTGCCCTGTTTGTTAGTTGTGTAGGTGTACGGAGAAAAGCAAGGAGTCATCTCTTTGCAGCACTCAAATATCCCCAGTCCAGAGCCAGGCACATAGCTGATACCCAGGCTTAAAATAGGGCAGAGAAGAGGCCGGGTCAGGGCCGTGCTGCTTTGCCTTGCGGTAAGTGGAAGTGGGAGGTTAAAGAATTCAGCTTAAAGATCCCTTCCCTTCACTTGGGAAAGGAGAGGGACGCTCTGCTCCCTCCCGCGGGCCGCATGGAAACTCATTCTGCGACACAGTAACTGTTAAAAAAGGAGTTCAGTGCTGGTAGCCCATTGTGAATGTTATTTTGGTTGTTTTCAACTGAAATAAAACTAATCTTGAGTACTATGTGATCTTCCAAATATTTGGTTACGGATAGCCTGCGCAGGCTGTAGGAGTACGTCTTTCGGGATGAATAAAGGAGGACCAGAGAGCGAGCTCCAGCACTGGACCCCTGGTCATGAGCATTTTGTGATTATGAGCTTACCCCCAGGTCTGTTGTGGACCCCTGCAGCTGGCTTTCTAAGGCAAACCTGCTGCAGAAGGGTCTAACGGTGAGCGGTGCGGACACGAGTCAGTATTATTTGGCCCAGTCCTCTTCATTTACCAGTGCTGAGATAGCCCAAAGTGAACTGCATCCAGTGGTTTTAATCCCTAATGGCCTTTATGAAGTTTTGTGCAGTAACTCCAGGTGTACCTGTGTGCGTAGTGCTAGTCACTGAAACAACGTTGCTCTTGGTGCGTGTAGCTGCAACGGCTGCAAGTAAGATGAAACTCATCTTGGCTCTGGCCTGTATATCTTTACAAAACTACTTTTTCAGTCAGAAAATATACGCTTGTCAAACCAAGACATTTTTCATCATGGGGTAATTAGAACAATTTGTTTTTTCAGGAAGTTCTGTCCTGTTCAGCCTGCAGTACCTGTTCCCTCAGTCCACCCCATCTCTCAGTGATTTCAGAGTCTTCCTCAGCACATAGAAGACCTGGAGGAACCTGACTCGGGGTAGTGACTGCTGCTTGCTGCCCCCAGTGGTAACCCACAGTCGACGGGTCAGTTACAGTCTGGCCCGGGGAAAAGGTGTCGAGAACGTCACAGCACCACGCGGGGGACGGACAGCTGCCCCTCTGACTGCTGATGGCCTGCTACAGCTCCCTCATTTACAACCTGGGGACCTGCATTAATACCTCTGTTACAATTCAGACTGTTTTAGGTTTCCTCTGCTTAAAAAAAGTAATGGTTGTAGTTCTTCCTCTTTTTCACACGCAGAACGAGGAGAATATCTCAGTTTCATTACACGCTAAATGAGAATTTTACAAGGAAACAAAACAAGTATTTCAGGACTGAAAAGCGATTTTCCCGAGAGCTCTGTCCCCTTATACATTTATGCTGTTATATTCTTAAGAACAAAAGCAATTTGTTCACTTTGTCAAATTGTTCACGTCCTAAGTGATTCCACTTTTACTTTTTTTATGAACATGCACTGGAATAAAAATGATTAAACAAACAACCACCTTTGTTTTAGCTGCTGCAGATGGTGGGACTGAATCTTCGGCTTTAGTGGATGACAATGGCAGCGAGGAAGATTACAGTTATGAGGAACTCTGCCAAACTAGTCCGAGATACCTGCAGCCCGGAGGGGAACAGCTAGCGATTAATGAGGTAAGATCCTGGGTTACAATCTGGTATGGTGAATCTTTGCATTACTAAAGTGATGGAGTGTGTGTTTTCTGCAGGTGTGAGGTTTCATGTTAACAAAAAGCATAGCAGCTTTAACTGTCATGACTGAGAATCCACGAGCCACAGCATCCGGCCTCAAACAGGGCCCAAGAGCAGATAGATGCCGATAGAAGAGCGTAACAGAACAGTTTCACATCTTGACTAAGACTGATCTGGGAGCTTTAACTAGGTAGCTTAGCTAACGGGCATGGGGTACGACTCTTAATTGTTCTCAGACTCATAGATGTATGTACAGATTCCTGAAAATCCAGAATCTTGATTTTATCCTGTAACAGGATTAATCCTGGGGGGTGCAGTGATGCATTTTAATCTTTTTAGTAGTTTATACATAGCTCATTGTTTATTCTTTGCCCCTCTCAAACTCTTTTTCTTCCTATCTCAGCTGATAAGCGATGGCAGCATTGTCTATGCAGAAGCGCTCTGGGACCATGTGACTATGGATGACCAAGAACTGGGCTTCAAAGCTGGAGATGTCATTAGAGTCCTAGAAGCTTCCAACAAAGACTGGTGGTGGGGAAGAAATGAGGACAAGGAAGCCTGGTTTCCAGCTAGCTTTGTCAGGGTTAGTAACTCTGCACTCTTTTGCACCACTGTCACACTAGATTCCTAGCAGAATTGAACACATCAATGACTGTGGCATTAAATTTAAATGAAGGGCCTAATCCTCAACATCTTTGCATCTGAACATCAGTGCTGCAACTCCTCCTGACTTCACAGGGGAGAAAGCAGTAGAGAATCAGACGCCAAGATTCATTAGCTCCTCGTGACACCTTTTAATTTCACTTCTTTTTTTGTGTAGTCCTTTTGTAACCAAAGGGATTTCACAAGAAATGAGGGCAGCAGAATACTCAACCAGGAGCAATCAATGTACACAGAAAGGACAAAGCAGCTTTCA